GTCACTAAATTTGAGATTATCAATTAGTGAATATTTTTGTGACTTGAAGTGATTTGGCTATTCAGTAGGAGACAGTCACAAAAAGTTCACCAAAAATGTGTGGTGAAGACAAACACAGACAGTCAACTGATAGCGTTTACTTATGCCTTTTGTCGCGCCGCCCGAAGAGTCCCAATGGCCAAGTGGTCAAAGCATTAGGCTGCCGGTCGAGAGGGTCCGGGTTCGAGTACTCCTAGGCGTAGAGGATTTTTTATTTTTCTATTTTTTTTTTATTTTTTTTTTTATTAGTTTAATTTTTTATTTTCCTTTATTTAGTATTTTTTTTCTTTTTTTTTAAATGAGTTTTTTTCAATGGATTTGTATGATATTAAAGCATTTTGGTTTATATCCTAACGAAATTCTTATTGAACAAATTTGAACAAATTGAACTCGCGGATTTTTTTATTAAAATGGAAAGCATTTTATTAAAATGGAAAGCAATTAACCTTTTCTCCACATGTTTATTTTTGAGACCTGGTCTTAGCCAGCTGACAAATTAGTGACTTTTTTTTTAGACTAGAGACGTGAGACAGCGTACTGAATACCAAATAGTCTCGAAATCCAAGTTCACCACCAAAAGTCACTATTAGCCACTAGAGACCGCTTACTGAATGCCAGGGTAAGATAATACATACCCTGGGATTCAGTAATTCAGTCTCATCTCAAGTCACTAAATTTGAGATTAGCAATTAGTGACTATTTTTGTGACTTGAGATGATTTGGCTATTCAGTAGGAGAGAGTCACAAAAAGTTCACCAAAAATGTGTGGTGAAAACAAACACAGACAGTCAACTGATAGCGTTTACTTATGCCTTTTGCCGCGCCGCCAGAAGAGTCCCAATGGCCGAGTGGTCAAAGCATTAGGCTGCCGGTCAAGAGGGTCCGGGTTCGAGTATTCCTAGGCGTAGAGGTTTTTTTTATTTTTTTTTTTATTTAGTATTTTTTTTCTTTTTTTATTAGTCTTATTTTTTAAGAATCTTTAGATTTTAATGTTTAAAAAAATTAATTTTTTTTTTCAATGGATTTGTATATTAAAGCCATTTTGGTTTATTTCCTAACGAAATTCTTATTGAACAAATTTCATCGCTTCATAATCGCGATTTTTTTTTTAATAAAATGGAAAGCAATTGACCTTTTCTCCATATTTTTATTTTTGAGACTTGCTCTTAGCCAGCTGACAAATTAGTGACTTTTTTTGAGACTAGAGACGTGAGACAGTCTCAAAATCCAAGTTCACCACCAAAAGTCAGTATTAGTGACTAGAGACCGCTTACTGAATTCCAGGGTTAATATGACTTTTTTAATTTATTCCTTTTGACCACTTTTCTTAAGAATTATTTATTCTTCAAAATGAAAGCGAAGCTTCTTCAGTGCTTATATATATAAATATATTAGCACGGGAAAGGAAAAAAGAAAAAAAAACTAAAAATGCATCTGATCAAAAGATGATTGTACCTAAAATCTAATGACTGTACCTTTAAGGGCCGGTTGTTCAATGTCTGATTAGCACAAATCGGAGGTAGAAGCTCCAGTTAAATACAACGACTGCTTTATCGATCACATGTTATATGAGTGATGTCGAAAACGTCGACAATGATGTTTAACCGGCAAGTGGGGATAACCAGACATTGAACAACCGGCTCTGAGTCATCAAACGTCGGAAAAAGGTCAATTTTATATTTCCTATAAAGGTTTTTTCGTTCAAAAATCGATTTTCATTAAAGATGGTAGAAAGCATTACGTTTTCTAAACGTATAAAGAATCGCTACTTAAGCGTGAAATTAAAGCATTTTATTTTTTGTGAACGAAGCAATGAACATATGAAGAGATCTCACCAAAATAGGTATAAGCGCAATTGCTTTAATTAGCTTAAAAGGATGCTTTAAGCAAGATCTTAATATACATATCGTCGTTTAAAGTACAAAACCGCGAATCAACAAAATGCAAAACCGCGTATCAAGATAATGCAAAACCGCGTATGTGACGTTGCATAAATTATTTTCTAGAGAGTAAAAACTGTTATATTTTAAAATGGTTCTATTTTTTATAAAGCAATCACATTTCTGGCTAGTATATTTCAGGACGAATGGATAAGGATTGAGCCAAGAGCTTGTGTGAGCAAATCCAATTTTTGGCAGCAAATGTCAGTTACGCGGTTTTGCAGAATGACGATACGCGGTTTTGTACTTTAAACGACTATATATATAAAGTAAATTATACTCTTTCTGTAGTAATCTCTTTCATATCACATATTTTCATTTCAGAAGAGATCAATGTAGTTTAAAAAACTACATCTTTAATTTTACAGAAGGGGTCTTCCCTTAAGCCCTGTATGCAGCTCTCAAGAAAACGGTCAAGAAAAAATTGCCATTATTTCGTGTGTGCGCCCAAGGAATTTTGACATTTTTTGATACTTCACAGCCTGTTGCCTCACTCTTTCCTCAAGAAATAATGGAACGGGCATATATTTCTGTTGCAAACCTGGGTTGCCCTGTGCTCTTTTTTCACAAAAAAACTTTAGAAAACCGTAGTAGAAAGCGTAGTAAATTTCTTAAGAACTGCGTACTGCCTTGAGGAAATTTGACTCAAGAAAATTTCTTAGCCATTTCTTGTACGTCATTTTATATGGAGTTTTTGCTCTTCTTGAGAGCTGCATACAGGCCTTTAAACTCGTAAAAGCCTCGTAAACCTCGTAATGCTCGTAAATTTACGAGCCCCTCGTAAAATTACAAGGCAAATAAAAAATACAATGTACCTCGTAAATTTCAGTGTTGCCGAGAGGCCGAAATTTTTATATTAAAATGTATGATAAAATAATGAAAATAAATGAAAAAAATTGTACGCGAATAAAATAAATGAATTTCATAAACTAACTGTATTGACTTAGGTTTTCTGCTTATTTTCAGCATTTTTAACTGTATTTTAGCCAATATTGATAGCGGCAAGATGACGGGAAATGGAAAATACTACGAAAAAAATATTGCTTCACAAAATCCTGGTTGATCTGTCAAACAGTCACTTTACGCACCTATTTACACCTTTTCACGGGGAGGGGGTTCCCACAAAAGCCATAAACATAGATCGCTGCAGCTGCAGCGCGAGGCGAAAAGATGACCAACTCCCATCTTTTTGCGCGCGTTGACAGTCAGCCGGTTTAATATTTATTTTGTTTCGTCCTAATTCTAGTTTTAATGCAGAAACATAAAATTAAATTACACTGTTGATATTTTTAAAGCTTAATATATAAAATCCACAGCAATTTTAACGAGAAAAAAAGCAGTACAAAATTGTTTTATTGGCGTTCATTGTGGCATACCTTTTGCGTCTGGCGCTTTGCTGGCAGAGTTATAAATGTCACGCAAAGCCACAAAGTTTTATCTGGCGTCAGCTTTAATATTATCAGTGAACTGTAATTTTTGATTTTCTTCCCTCAACGTTTAAGATAAAGATATTCCAGCACTACATTTGCACAGGAACACAATAAATTATAAATTAATAAAGGTTAAATATTACTTTTACTCTGAAGTGATAAAGGGTTAAATTGCTTAAATTTATCAGTTTATCCGCATTCTTTCATGAACGCACCTTGGTAAATAATTGCACACAATTTTTTATTATTTAACTTATCTGGCTAGTTACGTTTCATTCTTCCCTCGTCCATTGTGCTAATTTGCTTTTTATGTGTTCGTAGCAAAATCGACCACCTGGCAGTCTGCAAGGGTTGAATTGTGATGAAATTTATATGTTTATCTACCTAAATCGTTTGATAAAGTGGTTCATTTATCAAAATGATAAATTTATCATTTTATCAAATTGATCAACAGTTTATCACTTTTGACGAAGACCCCTATTGTCTTGCCTATCTTCGTTGACAATACAGTCAGCGTTGCCAAATTGACGTTTTTAACGTAATTTGGACGTTTTTTGTACCCTGTTGACGTTTGGACGTTTTTTGTGTAAAAAATGACGTTTTTTAACTTCCCAGTAATTTTTCTTTGTTACTAAATCTTATAAGTAGAACTGAATTTGAATTATTTTCTTTATAAATCTTTACAATCTTCGTGTTTTGCTGCAGCTGCTTCCTCCAATGGTTTTTTTTGATTCTTGGACCTTGTTCAAAAGCTGGTTGTGTAAACGCTTGAGGTTACGAGCCGATCTATTGCAGCAAGCACGATCGCAAAAGCATCAAAAAAAAAGTAGGCGACTTTTTTAAGACTTCATTGAAAATGTACTGATCGCAAAAAATACTGAAATATTAGGTCCATTCAATAACTTTTCCAGTAAGTACTTGCAGCGAGAGCGTAAAAGAAAAATAGAGAGTAAAATTGAGAGCAAGAGAAATTTTTCAGAAAAAGTTGTTGAACGCAAAATTAGTAAAAACTTGCAACTTAAGCCATTTTGACACTTTCTGACGGTTAAGTTGTAGCACGCAATTTTCTTTTTAATTGGGAATAGTTCCTATCGCCATAAAAGAAAAAGAATATACAATAGATTTAAATTTTGTATCCATATTTTCATTTCACTAATTATGTTTCATCAAATCATCCTCTTAAACAGTTTGCTTACATTTGAATTTGAAACATAACCTTACTTTTGGATTCCTGCAAATTCCTGCTAGTAAAATTTTTACTTGCAAGAATTTGCAGCTCTC